CTCCCCTTTTGCCTCCATTTCCCCTTTCCCACCCCCTTTTCCTTCTCTTGTTCCCCCAAAAAATTTCTCCCCCTTTCTTTCAATTCCCCCTATACTTTTACTGTTTCCCACTATACTTTTTCTTCCCCCCTCGGGGTTCCCGTCGCTACCCCTTGGCCAAACCCATACTGGCTCCCTCACTGTTTTGCAGAGGGCAAATGGGACCAAACCCCCGGTCGTAAGCTTCTTTGTTTTATGTGGGGGTTTTATTGGCTAAATTTGTTTATTCGGAAAAAACCCCGAACTGTTGTGTATGTGTTTTTATTTTGATTTTTTTTTGGGAAAATGTTACTTTAAATAACGATCGAAAAGAAAACAGGCCCAAGTTTTCCCCTGGGCGGGTTGATTTCTTTAGGGATGACCCCCCGCGGGGCCTTTTGGTCATCGGGCCCCGGGGCCTTTCCCAAACTGGCAAAAAATTTTTAGCAAGGGAATGAGGGTAAAATTAAAACCCAATACGTTTGGAATCGAAGGGTCTTCAAAAAACTTTTACAGCTTTCCAAAGAGAATAAAAATTTCAAAAAACCCAGTTTTTTAATAACACCAAAAGCAAGATAAAAAAGTATATACGTACTTTAAAAATTTTTATTCAAAACATTTTCTTGGGGGGTTACAAAAAATGTTTTATAAATTTTTTATGCTCAAAAAAAAACTTGGATTTCCTCTGTATAATTTTCACCGGCCACATATCCTTTAGCAGGTTAATATCTAGAATATGTAGTGAGCATCATTTAAAAGTAAATTTCCTGATTTAAATTAATTTTAGCACTATTAAAATTCTGTATTTCCAAAATATAATGAAAATAAAAGCCGCTACTACTACAAATAAAAAAAAGGCACAATACCGTGACTGGAACGATACACAAATAACCTGCACATAGAAGAGAGGAGCTTACGACGACGTTTCGGTCAGACTTGGACCATTTACAAAGTCATACTGTGACTTTGTAAATGGTCCAAGTCGGACCGAAACGTCATCGCGGGTTATTTGTGTACTGCTACTACTACTACTAATAGCACTCTTAAGTGATCATGACTTCGTATAACCTTGTGTGAGCCTTTAAGTGACCTCGTCGAGCAAATGTGAACTAATGTAACCTTGTATCCCGTGCGTGACCTCTGGTCGCAGCCCTCGGGGACGCCCTCATCAATGGGTTATCTGAGGTTAATGAGGCTCGACCCCCTGACCCCATCTCTTACCTGGCCTGCTGCCTGTACACGTACAGGTATACAAACAACAACAATAAAAACAGTTACAAGGTCAGTTGAGAAAAAAGTTTTTTGTACATTAAAAAAAAATATATTTGAACTAGCTTAACATGTTAAATTTCATTCTAATTTTAATTTTTACGAGCTTATTTTTCTGCGTTTCATGTTTCTTAAAAAAAATGGTTTCTTGTTACTTATCTTTCATTATCTTCGCTACTTTTTGTTTTGCCTCCTCAGAATTTTTCTCTTCAAACACTTCCTACGAGTGTTTATCTACATCTCTGACCTTCTGAGTCTCCTCTCTACAAACACGATCTACGAGTGTTTCCTTACATCTCTCACCTGAGTCTCCTCTCTCTACAAACACAACCTTCAAGTAACATCATCCTGGTTTAAAAAGACACGTAAACATTTGGACATGTTTATTGAAAAGCGTTTCGCTCCTGGAACCTTGATCACTAACATAACTGGGGTTAAAATAACAGTACATGTAGGCGGAAAGTGGTGTGAGTGACATGTCTTAGTGTCTGCTCATGTGTCTTTTTCAACTAATTTTGTCGGTATCTATTATCATGATTTATACCAACATTCATCCTCACTTCTTGCATCTCTCACTTTTCTGGTACAGCTTCGAGATATCACATACAGATCTCGTAAAAGCGGAGTCCCGTAGAGCTCTTTCCTCATTCCCTTACTGTTTGTTCTGCATGTCTCTCACTATTCAGATTACCTAAGAAAAATTCGCTCTTAGGTAAACAGATTAAGCTGTTTATGCTATCCAAGAGCAATTAAGCGATAATGTAAATAATGTATCAGACTATTCTGTATGTGTTAAACAACTGTAAATAGTATATATTGCACTGTATACAATACAACTGTAGATACTGTATAACATTTTATTAAGTTGTTTATCCACTACAATTTGCCGAATGGCTTTTCACCGCCTTTCCTCTGCACTACAACCCACCACCTGTGGCCTGATCCACCACCTCCGAAATGACCTATTACCTGTGACTTGACCCACTACGTGTCCTGACTCGCTACGTATAACCTGACCCACCATGTGTGGCGTGTGGTGGTGTGTTGGTGTAGGATGGGTCAAAGGTGGGCAGCTCGGGGTCAGAGAGGTCAGTAGACTCCAGCATTGCCCTCAAGACAGCAATGGAGAGTACAGGAGGAGGAGGAACCACCATCAAGCCACAGACCAGGGTAAGTGCCTCTCTCTGTCACTTCCACCACAACTACCATTACCACCCCAACCATATCAACCACCACCACCCCAACCGCAACTATCACCACCACCCCAACCACAACTACCGCCACCACTCCTACCACTAAGACCACAACCACCATCGCAACTACTGCCACAGCTACCACCATTACCACAACTACCACCATCACTAAATCATCTACCAAAATTACTACCACTTCTACAGTTACTACCAGTACCACCATTATATCCTCTTAATACAAAAAACAACTACTACTACCATAAACACCACTACAATCACAAATACTACCACTACTCCAACTACCACAATCACATCCTACTTCTGTAACCACAGCTACACAAACTACTTCTGTCACAACTACAACTACCACCACTGCCGCCACTATAACAAGCCCACCACTACTAATATCGTCACCATCACTACCGTCACCACCACAAGCACCATACCTACCATCACAGCAACCATCATCACCATCTTGTTTCCCGCTACGCATAGGACAAGAACGGACAGAGTATTCTCCACTTCGCGGCTTCACGACCACACGGACAGTCTGCCTTCTACCGACTCATTGACGAATCCGGGTGTTCGTTAGCGGACCTGGACGATCGGTATCGAACCCCGAGGGACGTGGCCGAGGAACATAAACTAAGTGAGAACGTCAAAGCTATTGACAAGTGGGTCATCAACCAGGCTGCCCAAGGTGAGAGAGAGGGAGGGAGGGAAAGAGAGGGAAAGAGAGAGAGAGAGAGAGAGAGAGAGAGAGAGAGAGAGAGAGAGAGAGAGAGAGAGAGAGAGAGAGAGAGAGAGAGAGAGAGAGAGAGAGAGAGAGAGAGAGAGAGAGAGAGAATAATAGCGTAAGAATAAGTACTGATAGGATAGGAGAGAGGATGAATTTCATGGTGTACAATCAGTGCCTAACAAAAATGGAATACTATCCATAAATACACATAAGCAGGAAACACTGAGAAACAGGAAGTCCTCACTTAACATCGTTTCGTTATAACGTTGATGAGAAAAAGAATCAATTCCCGGAAAGGAATGGAAAATATGGAAAGATTTTTAAATATCTGGATGGAGGACATGCACCGGCGTAACTCTCCATACAAATTAAAGCTTTAAGTTTATTTGAAGATCTAAAGAAAAAAAAAAACAGGGTTGTAGTGCTGCAAGTGAAACCTTCGTGGCAAGTCGAGGTTGCTTTGAACGTTTTAAGAAACGTTTAAAACCACCTAACATACAAATAACAGATAAGTATGCAAGTGCCGACAAAAAAGCCGCAACGGCTTACCCAGCTTTACCATTGTCAATTTCCTCCTTTATGGCTGTTTGTATTCGGTTTTTATGATATGTAACGTGTTTCTTAAATTCTGAAAAATATGCGATACTTAAAATAATAAAAATGTCCATAATAAGAGTAAATATACGACTTTATAGCACCCCAGAGCGACATACTCCGTAGTCATGTCGTCTGCAGCACTGCTGCTGCCCTCCACTCTCGGCTCTCCCTTGTCCTAGCAACTTGACTCTTGTTCATATCAATTAGCCTGTAGTAAAATTGGCCTTGTTATACGTCGTTTCGCTTAATGTCATAGTTTCCAACAACGTATCGACGACGTTAAGTGAGGACTTTCTGTACCTGCCTTACTTCCCATGTAACACCTTAATTAGCTCACCTAGGTGTGTACCAATGACAGGTAAGGTGGGGGTGCTCAAGAAACTGCTGATTGACGGCTATGATAACCTGCTGGATAAAGAGGATGAAAATGAGTATAACATCATCCAGGTGGCTCACCAAAACGGCCAGGAGGACACCGTCAAGTTCCTCAGTTCCGCTGGCAACTTTGAGGTGAGTTATGCGGTTCATTAACGCAAACTGGGTGCTAATAACTGCTGATAATCGGAACACTTAAAGACGAAATACTATACTTACTTCTCTCACTGTCCCACCAAGAATGAAGGTTATATACACAGAGTGGTGCCTATCTTTCAATGTATATACACCGAAAGGTGTATCTCTCAATGTATATACACAGAAAGGTGTGCATCATTCTGTGTTTACACCAAGTGCGTATCTCTGTGTGTATCTCTCTCTCAATGTATATAAACAGAGGTGTGTATCTCTCAATGTATACATACAGAGAGGTCTCTCTCAATGTATACATAGAGAGGTCTCTCTCAATGTATACACACAAAGGTGTGCATCATTCTGTGTTTACACCAACTGGTGTGTATCTCTGTGTATATAAACTGAAATTAGCTTAAAACCCTGTTTTAAGAATTAAAGAAACCTTGAGTTGTGGCATATAAGTGATATGCTGTCTTATACTAATAATAATAATTCTACAAGTACATGTACTGAGTATACAGGCCTAGCTGACATCAATGACATTCTACTATATAGAAAGTCCCTTGTTATGCAGAGCATTTCGGGCAAATTAGGTCAATTTTGCCTCCAGGAAGAGACCCATACCAGTCTACGAACACCCAGATACCTATTTTACTGATAAGTGAACAGGGACAGCAGGTGTCTAAGGAAACACGTCCTAATGTTTCCACCGGGGATCGAACTCAGGACCTCAGTGTGTGAGAGCTGAGTGCGCTAGCAATTCGTCAGGAAACTGGACAAATGCCTCCTGACGCGGGTAGTCGATAAGATTTAAATCTAATACATCAAGCAATCCTCTTGACAGGAAAAAAGGAACTGGCTTCACAGGGCAATTCGTCTAGGTTCGCTGCCTCATGTCCAACATATAGCGGACTCTCTGGACATTGTTCGGGCCAAGGATGTCCACGGAAGGACGTCTCTCCACATCGCTACCCTCTGCGAGGAGAAGGAAATTATGCAGTTCCTTGCTTCCCGCTACCCACAGTTGCTCATGATTGGTGATAATGTGAGTTTTAAGAGGCGCCTGAGTTTCCCTGTTTCTTAATGTTTATTTTCCCCCTATAATCTACCTTGTCCACAATTACTATCGCATTTACTTTATCTGCTTTTGTAAGTTGAAGCTTGGGATATTTCCTTAAGTCATGGTATAACTTAAATACTTGAGGACAATTGGGTTGCACAGGTCTGAGAACTTTGTTTCCCTGAAGCTGGAACGAACACCGCTCCACTATGCTATGGCTGTGGAGGGCGTAGACCAGGTGGCTACCGTGTTGGTCCAGGCCGGGGCTAAACGTACCCTCAAGGACCTGGTGAGTACCTCTTACAACTGCTACTACATTCCTTGCTTGTTTGCACACCCACGAGCCTACACAAACACCAGGAACTGGTGGAAGCAGTCTTCGTACACAGTTTTAAGAGTGGGTATGAACAGCGCCCATGAGGTCAAGAATAGTGTGTGCCCGTATGTAAAGTGACGACTGAAACTCATATTTGGCCCTTGCAACCACAACTAGGTGAACAAAAGCATACACACGCACGTGCACATACTTAATAAGCATGGAAACATGTATATAAACACATACAAATACATGCACACACGTATAAAGGTATATAAATGCGCTCACAGATGTATGCACACACAATCGCACATGTATATAAAGAGGAGAAGGGAGGACACCATGGCTAGAATAATTCACAAATACCACACTCTGAATAAAAACTGTACTGCCTGAGCGGCTAGTTTGTGCACAAGCAGCTCATCCTGTAAACTGTAGGGTAGAAAGCACAGGATTACAGTCACAATATGTCTATTTGACTCTACTAGGCACAGTTACACCTTTAAAAATATTAGTCATTTCGTACATTACAATTTATTCCAGTATCTCATCACTGCCAACACTGATCATTAACTAGGTCACATCTCAGCAGACAATGGGTTCGTTCAGCTAGTATTCTAGCAGGTGCATAACCCTTTCAGGGTCCGTCCCGTAGATCTACGGCTTTATGGTGAGTGTCCAAACCGTAGATCTACGCCATGAGCTCAGCTCACTCTGATAAACTGTGAGTGGTACATTTGGGCCTAGATATGAGAGAATACATCTATGTGGTATGTGTGCACCACATAAAACAGATCCTGCAGCACACTGTGTATAATGAGAGAAAAAAAACTGAAATCATGATTTTTTTGATTAAAAACACAACTTTGGCAGTGTTTTTTTCGTATGTTTTTTATAGTTGTATTTGCGATTTCTTGGTCCATTTGAAAAGAATGGAAGACTATTACAGAAATAGAGATGATTTTGATTGGTTTTAGCACTGGAAATGGCTTGAAACTGAGCTCAAAGTAGCGGAAATGTTTAAATTTTTGCCGATAATTTCAAGATAAACAAACGACCTCACACGTCAAATTACACGTCAGTGGTGGGTCTAATATACATTCACAAAATGGTGATGATAATTATACAATTATTACAGTATTGCATAGCAGTAAATCTTCTATTTTTTGGTGTGAATAAAAATTCATTATGTGAAAAAAATCAAAATGGAATTTTTTTGTAAACCCTCAAAACATGACTAAGAACAGAGGAAAATGTTATTTTAAAGTGCCAGGAATCCTACATTGTTTAATTCTGGACCCTATTTTGAAATTGGAATATTTTGAACTTTGTGTTAAATTGGCCAAATTAACAATTTCCGATAAACTTTATTTTGTATTTTGAAACAGTTGACTTGGCGATTTCTTGTGCTCAATCGATAGAATAGAAGTAATACTAGTGAAATAGTAAGAATTTGGTTGATTGGAATAATGTAATTGGCCTAAAATGGGAGTCAAAGTCGGCAAAATCGCCGATTCGTAAATATCGCTGACACATCAAAATTCGCGAGAGCATAATTTCGTCAATTTTCCACCAAATTTCGTACTTTTTGTTTTATTACCTTCACAAAAAGATTCTCTACGATTTCATAAGAAAAAATAACAAATTTTTTTTTTGAAAATTCTTGGACACTGGTGCGTGACTCCAGATTTGGGCCTTGGACCCTGAAAGGGATAATGTGGAGACAACCTCTGAAATCTTATTAACGGTAATGTCATTAGCTATTTCCGGTACGCTTTGCTTCGATTATCTCTAAATCAGGGGTTCTTAACCAAATAATAGGGTGGGTGGGACTCGATCTCTAAACAGTTTTAAAAAAATGTTTTTAGATTGGAATAAACTATCACCTGTTTTATTCATAGCTATCCATATGTAAATTAAAACCAAGATATTGACATCTGTTGATGATAATTTCGACAGTCTGGTGAAGGGGGTATGGGGACATGTTGGCCAATCCACTGGCAGTCTGTAATGATGAAAAGATTTGGTATCACTGTTCTAAATGGTTGACCGTAATGTACTGGTGTGTTGGTGTTTTGCTAGTCAGGATATAACAGTGTCTCCTGACACGAGCCGTAACAAGATTATGACCCATCTAGGTTTTACACTCCGTTCAGAGAAATCAAGCATTACATATTGTATCTTAAGATGATACTTTTTTCCATCAATGTGCTACATAAAATAATATTGCATATAGAATTCGCCGGCTACACTGAGGGTCAGAGTAAATAGAATGGATGTTCACACTTTCCAGCAATTCATAAAAACACATTTTTCCTGACATATATACTAAATATAAATTGCTTATATCGTAGATTCATATACTGCTTGTTTAACAAAATAATTATCAGATATTTCATATTTCCATTTATATATAAATGTGTGATATATATATATATATATATATATATATAATATATATATATATATATAATATATTATATATATATATATATATATATATATTATATATATTATATAAAATATACTATAATGTGTGTACTCACCTGTATGAATATGTGTGTGTGTGTTAAAGCACGTTTGACCACTGAGTAGTTTTTGGTAATTAGACGTTTTTTTTGTGTGTGTGCGTGTTTTGTTCAGTCTGTTAATGTTCAACTAACAAGGCTACGCAGACATTCATATAAGCTTGCTAGACTGACTACAGTATTCTTCCTTTAACTTTAAGTTTCAGTTTTTTACAATATTTAGCTGTTATATTTCCTAGCCAGTTTATCGTGTAATTTCAGTGATATTCAGGCATTTTAGATTTCCCACTGTATCGTCCCTCTTCATCCCCTATAAAACACACACTGTATTTTTTATCTGTAGCACATACAAAAACACAGATAGAATTTGTTAAACCAGAAGATGAGCTCTTGTTTATTTCGACCTAACACAGGCCATCTTTAGCCAGCTGTTGAAGTATTCAACAGTATCTTGTTTACGGGTATTAACTTGCACAGGATCTTTCCTTAATCTGTCTTCTACTCTCCTATTCTTTGTGACCATGGTAGAGGGACCACACTCCCTCAGCCAACTTCATCCACCCTGAGGCGGTGAGGGCGCTGCAGAAGGAAGAACAAGCACTGATGGACCTCAACCAGCAAGCACTCCCAGCCTCGAAGTCTGAGGTAGACATTGCTACGACTGCTAATTCTACGGGATATTTCGCTGGATATCTATTTTATGTTTGCGTTGCTCATTGGATTATTTTAAGGAGCTAATATGTTTTTTCCTAAGCTACATCAACTTCCTTTATATTTATTAAAAAACGATAATATATGCAATAATTTTATATTTAGATACGTTATAAACAGATTCGTCTTATTTTATTACAAACACTACGAGCTTTAGATACTTAAATTTATTTTAGCAATTTTGAGTATTATGACAAAGTATTTTTCATTCTGTACAGTATTTTGATGAGTATATTTCTCTTGTGTGTACGCTCCCAGAGTAACAGTACATGTATACACCAGAGGTGGTTCGGACATGTAGAGAGAATGGAGCGAAACAGAGTGACTTCAAGAGTGTATCAGTCTGTAGTGGAAGGAAGGCGGGGTAGGGGTCGGCCTAGGAAGGGCTGGAGGGAGCGGGTAAAGGAGGTTTTGTGTGCGAGGGGCTTGGACTTCCAGCAGGCATGCGTGAGCGTGTTTGATAGGAGTGAATGGAGACAAATGGTTTTTAATACTTGACGTGCTGTTGGAGTGTGAGCAAAGTAACATTTATGAAGGGGTTCAGGGAAACCGGCAGGCCGGACTTGAGTCCTGGAGATGGGAAGTACAGTGCCTGCACTCTGAAGGAGGGGTGTTAATGTTGCAGTTTAAAAACTGTAGTGTAAAGCACCCTTCTGGTAAGACAGTGATGGAGTGAATGATGGTGAAAGTTTTTCTTTTTCGGGCCACCCTGCCTTGGTGGCCACCCTGCCTTGGTAGGAATCGGCCAGTGTGATAATAAAAAAATAAAATAATATATATATATATATATATATATATATATATATATTATATATATATATATATATATATATATGTGTGTGTGTGTGTGTGTGTGTGTGTGTGTGTGTGTGTGTGTGTGTGTATGTGTGTGTGTGTGTATGTGTGTGTGTGTGTGTGTGTGTGTGTGTGTGTGTGTGTGTGTGTGGTGTGTGTGTGTGTGTGTGTGTGTGTGTGTGTATGTGTGTGTGTGTGTGTGTGTGTGTGTGTAGGACAAGCCACGGGGGTGGAAATCTTTAGCTTAAGTACTTTCACGCTTCTCAGTGCGTCATCAGGAGCTGGGCAATGTTGCAAGGGAGCAACCAAAGCAGGGAGAGAGGTCTCAGAGTAGCGTAGGTGTCACTGGCCACGTGACACCTACGTGACACCACGTGGCTTGTCCTGCATAGTTAAGATCGCCAGTCTGCGATTGTTTGCATCATATATATATATATATATATATATATATTATATATATATATTATATATATATATATATATATATATATTATATATATATATATATATTATTATTAATATAATCTTTAATTCTACAAGTACATGTATGAGGTATACAGGCCTAGTTGACATCAGTGACAAACTACTGAAAGCCTCTTGTTATGCAGAACATTTCGGATGCGACCCACACCAGTCGACTAACACCCAGGTATCCATTTTATACTGATGGGTGAACATGGACAACAGGTGTCTGTTGAAACACGTCCCTAATGTTATCCAGCCGTACCGGAGATTCGAACCCCTTACCTCAGTGTGTGAGCTGTGTGGTAACGATCGACCTACGGGACACCACGGGGGTTTACTTTAATCCCAACAGGCACATATTTGATATTTAAACATTTTCAATTAATCAATTAACACCGAGAGTGTATGTTTCTCAGTGTATATACACTGAGAGGTGCATATCGCGGTACACAATATATATTCTGGGAATTTATTTTATTTTACCAACTAAATAATTACGTATAACCTAATGATCCACACGTTGTCGATAGGCTTCCAACGCAAGTAACCAAGAAAACTATTTCAATTAACAATCTGCTTTTCCGACACATTTTCTTTCATTAATAAATTTTCTTAGCGTTTCTTTTTGATTATAATAATAATAATTTCATTAATAAACACTTTATTGTAAAATCTGGCAGCGTTGAAATGATCTTTCAATTAGATATAAATACGATAATTAAAGTAAGTTAATTTAACAAAAACATCGTTATTAGTGATGTTATTATAGACTCCTCGCAGGACTTTAGCAAACGTTATATATATATATATATATATATATATATATATATATATATATATATATATATATATATATATATATATATATATATATATATATAATATGACGCAGGATGGACATGTGAGGCAGTGCAATTTCTTGGTCAAATCACAAATAGCTCCACTCGGTGGGTCATCATATTCAGGTCCTACAAGGGAGAAATCATTATGCTTATGGTATATATACAATACTAACAGTGTGAGTAAGATACATGTGCAACAGTTAGATATTTTCATTGACGAAACGTTTCGCCTACACAGCAGGCTTCTTCAGAGGTGACTAAATATAAACCTGAAGCACTGGAGGTAAACACGTGATCAGTCCGTCAATCCTGAAGTAGAAGTGGTCAGTACTTCAGCCTGAAGGCTGTTCAGTTCCATAGTCTTGCACGTGTGTCTTATTCATCCCCTCAAAGGAAGCTCTTTGATGCTGGTGATGGGGCTCTTGATCCAAAGAGCTGGACTTGACCTTCATTTCCTTGGATCAAACATGAACGCCTCCGAGTTTCTGGGCGCTGTACGAACGCAATTAAGTAAGTTTATCCAGGTATACACAAATACAGTTAAATAGATTATCATACATAGCAGCATATGTGTAAAGTACCTAGGATAACTCAAAAATGTCAGATAGTGACTTATTTCCATCGGGGTCAGTGTTTTCTTCTAAATATAAAAACAATAAAAAAAATTATTACTGAGTATCTAGAATGCAAAATCTTTGTCATTTCTTCTGACCAACAAAACACTGCCGCCATTAATGTTAATCCTTTATCGTTTTACAGAAGTACTGACTACATATAATCTGTATAAATGACCAGTGAGACGGTCTAATTTACAGGTATCAAACTTATCCCTTTAAAATCACGATATAAATTCTTCAGATATACGGTATATCTCCTTTTGCTTTTAGATTTAATTTAGCATTAGGAAGATGATTATTTTAAGTCGTAGCAATAACAATCAATGACTTTTCCCATAATATAAGTAGCGATTTCTCAATTTTTAGGTCACACTACACTATCTCTTGCTGTTTTAGTTCCAGCTTTCTAATGTTTGTGCTGGGTGCTTGTTTTTATACAATTCTGTTATTTTGCATGCATATATAATGGAGGTGAGTGATTTATTCTTTTAATTATACTGACCCCACTTTTAAATTATTTATATATTAATGCTGAACAAAATGTTGAAGTTTTAGGACTATTAAGAAGTCACACCAGAAGAGCGATGGCATGGGAGCCAGTACACTATATATATATATATATATATATTATATATATATATATATATATATATATATATATATATATATATATATTATATATATATATTTATATATATATATATATTTATATATATATATTTATATATATATATATATTTATTATATATATTTATATATATAAATATATATTTATATATATATATATATTTATATATATATATATATATAAAATATATATATATATATAATTTTATATATATATATATATTTATATATATTTATATATATACACGAAAGAGGCGGTAACGGAGAGAGGTAAAAGTAATAATATAGTGACAGTAGTGGTAGTAGTAGTAATAGTAGCAGTAGTAGTAGTAATAGCAGTTGTAATAGTACCAGCAGTAGTAATAGTAGTACCAGTAATAGTAGTACCAGCAGCAGTAATATTAGTAGTAATAATATTACTAGTAGTAGTAATAGGAGGGGGAGGTGGTGGTTTGGAGCACTGGAATATAAGAGTGAGAGTGAAGTGTAGCGAGGTAATTGTAGTCCGTCCAAGATGGACCAAAACGTCGTCTACAAGTTTCTTTCAAAATGCAAGCTATTTGTGAAATGTAACTGTAGTGTTAGTCACAGTGTATATACATCAAGTGGCGAACATCTCCCAGTGTAATGTACACTGAGAAAAGATTTCAATCTTTTTCTCACTAATTAAAGTACTCTTGACTGATAGTGTAGAAGTAACACGCTATCTAAATGACCTTCCTGTGATGGCTAGTGATATAGGTGACAGTCTTAATAACCCTCGTGTACAGGTGACATAGTCTTAGTGACTGGTGGTGTACATGTGACATACAGTCTTAGTGACTAATGGTGTACAGGTGACATACGGTCTTAGTGACTGGTGGTGTACAGGTGACATGCAGTCTTTTTTGTCTGGTGGTGTACAGGTGACACACAGTCTTGATAACCCCTCGTGTTCTTGGTGTATGGTAAATTTAACAACAGAGATTATTTAACTCCAAGTACTGTTTACAACAGATAATATAATCCTATGTTTCTTTACCACAGAGAGGCAAGACACCAAGTTATTACTTCATGAACAGAAATGACATACTAGCCATGGTCAAAGAGGTTAATGCCGAACCCAACTGACATCAAGAGGTCACTGCTCGATACGACTAACAAATGAGGTCAAGTTAAACTCAGTTTTTCAAATATCACCACGAAGATTATATTACATTGTTGGGCAGCAATCCAAGGATAAATTTCGAGTTCAAGGATTAAATCGCCCTTAAATACGACTGACCTCAGCGGACTACAGTGACCTCGCAGCCTCTAATATTATAGTCCTAAATGTCCGTATAGCTATTATTCATAGTAATATGGATATATAAGGTACAATTATTATATTCCACATAATATAGTCATGTCTCCCCCACAAAATAGGCATATCATATTTGTGTATATTAATATATCATAATCCTAGTTGTAAGATAGTTTAAATACAATTACAACCTATGTATTATACGAAAATAAATGTATTATGTTATATATATATATTATATATATATATATATATATATATATATATATATATATATTTATATATATATATATATATATATATATATTATATATATATACATATTAAAAGATATGTATTCCCGTTTATCATTTTTAAAATATAATGAAAGATAATATATGAAGAATGTGCCAATTTAGGGAAAATGCCATAGCTAGGATTGAACATTTTATGTCAAGCTGACTAAGGGAAATTATTATTATTAATTATTTTAAGGGCCAGTGGTCAACACATAGAGGTCACACAGTGCCTGGGGAATGGAAGGTAATAAGGTTTGATCCTAAGCAAGAGAGAGACAGAGTAACTCCAGTTCCTCGGATCACATGGCTTCAAGTAAAAAAATGCATCAGGCTAATATAATTTTTATATCTTATTTAAAGGTGCATTCCAGGAGGATTTTGAGTGGTGAAATAAACGTGTATATATAAAATGTATTTTTAACACCAACACTACCTCAATTATAATAATTTCATGAATAATAATAAAAATGGGCGTCTAGCTGAAGCTACAGAATGTACCACAGTAGTGCATTCTGTGCCCCATACCCCAGGACACAGAATGCACCACTACTGATGTCGTCTCAGCAGCTGTAACCCAACTATTCCTTCCTACAGCCCCAGGAGTGTTCAACACGACCTGTGTCAGGGAAA